GCCCCACTTTAACAATCTTTTTCAAGATCCTGAAGACATGGATCTACCAATGGGCCTGGGAACTCTAGAATGATATAGAGCCCTTCAAATAGCTTGTTTCATTATTGTTGACAGGGAGTGGGGAATTATTGCTTTTTGCATTATTTTTGTATTTGAATTTGAATTTCATCCTGTAAGTCACTGAGAATGAGTTGGGCAGTTACATGAGTTTTCTTAAGTAAATGGTTTCAAATTCTTATTTCCAATCAATTGGGTCCCTTAGTTTATTTGCAGTTTTTCAAAATTAATTTCTACCCACACTTCTGCTGTCTCCAATTTCTTTTAAAAAAAAATCTTTAAGTTCTTAAACTTACATGAAACTTCATTTACTGAAGATTGAAGGAGATCCCTGATGTAATGAAACTTGCCCTTCTGAAAACAAAAACAGGTATCAAGCCATTTCCAAAGGCTGTTAAGAGAAGAAATAGATGAGTCCATTTGAAGGCTCCAAACCATGCTAACATCAGAGGACTTCTTCCTGGCTCCCAAGCTCTGAAACCAGCTGGAGAATGCTGCTTTAGTTTCCTTATTGGGAGCCTGTATGAAAAGCCCTTATGAGCAATCTTTGTCTTCTCTTTCATCCAGAAAAATTCATGGAGTTGATTCATTCTCTGGCTCCTCTTTCTCCTCTTCAGGCCACCATTGCTTCCACAGAAGTGCTAAAATGAAGGTGAACTCACTAAGTGGTTTTGCAAACTTGCCATTTTGAAGATCTCTAATAGCCTAAATACATAATATCAGAAAGTGATTAGAAAGTGAGGTTAGAGGTTTGATTTCCAAGTAAGGAATGGTGAACCACATATCTGCATAGAGACAATGACTACAGTAAAGACCAAAGGACCAATAAATATACCAGTCTCACAGAACCTCTCTGGATAAGGAAAGGAGCTCCAAATAGCAGCTCCTTATGAGGTGGGTTCCTACAGGTTTGATTGCCAGAAGACAAAGGGAATTATCATATTATCAACTGCAATGGAGTCTTTTAAAGGCCACTGAGCTTGCTTTCTCATAGTTTCTGGAAGTTATCACCTAACTATATTAATAATACTAGAGATGTTCCAAATAACAAATGTGAAAAGCCACCTGATGAATGTACCATTACTCTTGAACAAAAGAAAAACTAACTATAAGCTTAAGGAAAAAGAAATAGAAGCAAATGGAAAAAAGTTAAGTAAGAAATAATTTAAAAAAATATACAAACAAGTTAAAGGGCTAGTAACACTTGGAACCTTAGGATTTTTGCTAAAAGCTTGGCTAAAAGATTACATGCATCCATGTAAACATGTTTAATCTATCAAACTAATAACAGACATTTGAGCCTTTATGTTTTCAGAAATTATATACTAGAAGGAACTAGTGATTCCATGCAGGCAAAGAAAAAAGTTTTTCATTTTTGATTTAGAGAGTAAGCTTTGGATTGCACAAAATCACAAATAATGTTGAGCCATTTCAAGACACTTTTGAAGAAGGGGAACAGAGACTTGTAGCTACAATGGCAGAAATAATGTTTACTTATATGAATGTATTATTTACAAAAGAAGAAAGCAAAATTATCAAAGGAAATGCTTTGAAAAACCTAAAGGACAAAGAGATGAAACAAGCTTATGCAGATTTACTAGAAAATAAACTGTAGATTACAACACAGAGATGGTATTTAAAGGGGAAATATAAAAGACAAACCAAAATCATAACCCGGATTACAGCTTCTTGATGAGTTTACAGAAACGGGTTCCTAAAGCCTTGAAGCAATTTCAAAGACTGAAAAAGAAAGATAGGAAGATCAAACCCTATAATAGTATTAGAATGGATCAAAGGTTGTGATTGTTAGAAGAAAAATCAAGGAAATTAAAGCTAATTTGTTTGACTAGGATTAAAACAAGATATAATATGATAAAGTTCTGGAAGCCTCCTATGGACTTTTTGCTGACAACTGGACTGAAACATTAATGATTTATGGCTTTGCAAAAGATAATGGATGGGCTAAAGGAAGAAAATATATGCATGCAGTGTTATAAAAAGGAAAGAAATATCAAGGTTGCCTGTACTTGTGATGAAAATCAGAACTTCTAAACTATTTTTCTTTTTAACACCCCTCTCTTTTCTTTCTTTCTTTCCTTATATGTACTTTTTTTCATTTTCTCTTTCTTCTCCATTTTGTTTGAACTTTAATTATTTTTAAAGCTTTCAGTAAGGTTAGTGAACCCAATGTCCTTCAAAAGGTTCCACCATGATGGGTTTCTTTCAAATGCACTCAAACCTGCAGGAAATCACCATCCTTTAGTCTCCTCAAGAAAAGCCATCCAAACACACATGAGTGATTTTCAATCTTCTAATTGTTTGGAGGGGTTCTGTGGGACTGGTCTACTGACTGGTCCTTCAATCATAGCTATGGCATCGTCTCCACCCATTCAGATGTGTTAGCTTCCATTTCTCACCCAGAAGTCTCTTCTGTGGGTAGACATTATATCGATTTCTGGGAGGAAATGTTCCAGAGGCAGAGGTAGAAGTGGGGAAGATAAACTTTCTAAGTCTCATGAGATGGCAACATTTAATAGAAAGGAGTGCTCTCATCCTGCTTCAATGTATTAATTGGGCAAAAACAACTTGAGAGGCAGTCTTTCAAATATTATTATGAACTATTTGATTGTTGGTTATCATTTCTGCTGATTAATTAGCTTCTCAGAAAGAGAAAAGTTTTCATACATGTGGTCTCTGGTTCACATTATTCTGAACTAGTGATTGATCCACGAGTGACCTTCCTGGTGTGTTTCCATATATACTTGAATTATCCAAATATATTCAGTTTATATTAAACTACTACACCAACAAGGCTTCTCTGTCAGCTCTTCTGTCTTATATAGAATATGAAATTATCTTGAACCAAAATTGTTCTCAAGGTGGTTTGCATTGTTGATCACTCAAGTGAAAAGACCAAACATTTGTTCCCTCCTATTCTCCTATCCAATTATAATGAGAACAGGGGGCTCTGCATCAAATAATGTACATCCAGCTTACATTCACAGATGGGGTTGTATGACCATGTATCTCAGTGATAAGAGCCTTAAACCTGTACTTTTGTGAAGTTTCACAATTCAATATGATATGACATTATCTCTGAAAAGACATAATTGGTAAGGCTCATTCCTCCTCATCTATAAAAATGAGTACAATAATAATTATTGATGATAAAGATACATTCTTTTCTTTGACAAAATAAATATGTAAATATAATGAGGTGATGGTGTTAACTTCAGTTTCATAGATATTTAGATTTATCTGAAAATTAGCAGTATATATATTATAATCAGTTTGAAAGATGCAAGTTATTTCAGTAATTCCTTTTTGTTATCTCTAAGCTAGGTACTTTCTGACATCTCTTGTTGTTTTGGATTATGTATATATGAATATTAATCCTCTGAATAAAGATATGGAACAATTAGCATAACAACTAACAATTATATATTTTAGTCAGTTAAGACAATACATAACAATGAACAGATCTTCAAATTGATTAATCATTGCAGTTTGATGGGTGCTATGTTGGAAAAACACAGAGAGGTAAATCTATGTATAAAAAAATTGACAAATACTCTGTGGGGACTTACCTCTCCAGAAGCTAGGTGTCAGCCCCACTCAATAGACCAGACCAAGAAATCAAGTCTATAGGAAGGCTAAAACTACTTTTATTGAGATTGACTATAATAACTGAAGTGTTTGCATCTGAATTGCTGTACTTTCTCCTCTGTACTCTTGTGAATTAAGAATGCATCTGCCTGAGTTATTTCCAAATTTATTTACTTATTCAACAAATTATATATATTGCTCTTTCTAGACTTTAAAAAAAAATTGTCATCAACAGTTCCTGTGTATCTGCATCAAGGTCATCTTCCTTATTCTCTATATTAGGTATCCAATCTGTCCAGTAGGCCAAGCTCAAATGGCCACGGAGGACAATGCCCAGAGACCAGAAGGAAGTAAGCAGGCCAAATAACACAGCAACTTGGAACTGAAAACATCCCAGGATTGGACTGGGTCATCAACCCCATCATCATCTGGGTCCTGGGTCCTAGATGTTATCCACAGCAAAAGGTGTGTTAGAAGAGGAGAGCAAACATTGTTTCATCCAAAACAGCTAAGGTTGATTTGAAAGGTGCCTCAAGGAAGGGGCTATGACTGAGACAAAGTCAAAGTTGTGAAGATGTGTCATATATGAATGATTACTAGAGCTTGGGAAAAGGAAGAGAGCCCATATTAANATACAATACAATACAATACAATACAATACAATACAATACAATACAATACAATACTGGGATGGGCAACTCTACTCCCTCCCCAATGCAGTATACAAATTCCATTATTCAAGACCTGAAATATTCCTTTGATCAAATTTTCTGAAAGCAAGGTAATATAGCTTCCTGCTTAGTCTGACGTGGAAAGCAGAAATCAGTTCAGATTTCTGGCAAGAGCAATGTATCACTTTCTTGCAGCTGCAAGGTGGTACCAGAAAAGGAATGAGAATGAAAAAGAAAAAAGAGAGAGGAGGGGAGAGGAGATTCACAAGAATCATTTTGGTCTAGGAATCTATAAACTAAATTGATATATTTTTGTGGTGGAAAAAGTGAGCTATAAAGCAAGAAGTCAATATATTTGATTTATATTGTGACTTAGCCCTGAATTCACCATAAACTATCCAAGGTTCCCTCAAACCATGACATGGGCAGTAAGTAGATGAATAGACACACAAACAGACAGACAGACAGACAGACAGACATGCAAATTGTTAGGAAATTAAGTCACCCTCTCTCTCTTAATGGCTCCTCTCTCTTGGCATAGTTAAAAATAGCTCTTGTTCCTCCGAGAACTTATTTCTCCTAGCAATCTCCCCCAGAGCTGGTAGGAATGGTAATCGTCAAAAAAATAATTTAAAAAAAGCATTTGCTCAGATGGGTTCAACTTACCTTGTGTTTCCAGATTTTCACACAGTTCTGATTTGGCCTCTCCATTGGGGCGAAAGCCTGCTTTCTGAGTGAATTTGTTGGACATTGTGGCTGCTGTCACAACTGCTTTGAGACTGCGCTTTCGTTTGGGCACATTTTGCTCTGGGTGGAAGAGGATTATGTAGACCTTTGGCATGTAGAGCATGCCTAATGAGACAGAGGCGCTTAGGCTCACTGAGATGGTCAATGTTGTGGTCTGAATGTACATCTGAAAGACACAAGGGAATATGTTAAGCTTTGAAACCTGCTTCTTAATCAAGAATAGGCTCTGTCTCTTAGACTTCACTGAAAATATTTTCCTAGGCCAAAGTTGACATAGAAAACATGAAGGGTCAATTAAATGGACTATTTATGTATAAAAGAAATATTGCAGTAGAAACCAAAGGAGAACCATATCACTGCAATGTTGAAGTTATAGGGTATTTGTTCCAAAATATAACAGTTTATAAAATCTGAATAGCAGTCCTGAGATGTTCATTAGGACGACTGTGCATACATTTTAGCACAACACCTCTCTGGAATTCATTCATCCACTCTACCCTTAAAAAAGCTGATAATTTAAGAGTCACATTAACTTTAATGAGTAAATTCTTTAAAGCATCAGCTTTTTTTCAGCTTCCAAGCTTGTTTATTTTTACATATCCACCTGCTCTTTAGATTACATTGTAGATGATGTAAATTGTTTGTCATCCAGACCAATGAAATCAGTTCATTATGTGTCTTCAAATCATACCCTGGAGCCAGGATATCAAATACAATTGAAAGCACTGCTTAATTGCATACTTAGTATTTTTTTTTATAGAAGCTGTTATAGGATAGAGGTTGTTATATATGATGAATTCAATTTGTGTGTGAGAGAGACACAGAGAGCGAGAGAGCGAGAGAGTGAGAGAGCGAGAGAGNGAAATGTTAACATTTTTATATGCAGATAAGAATGACATCAAGTACACTATCTTGAAATATAACAGTTTTCTCATGGTTGAATACAGTAGCACATTGATATAATAAACCTGCATCATCATCATCATCATCATCATCATCATCATCATCATCATCATCATCATCATCATCATCATTATAATCATCGTGTCCTGTGAAGAGCACATTGTGCAGCTAGTGTTTTCCAGCACTTTTGATCATTCACAGCATCTTCATCATCATCCCAAGGGACACTAATAACCTTCAGATCTTCCTTAAGTGTTTTCCACCAAGTTTTCTGAGGCCAGCCACTTTTTCTTTAAGCTCCAGGGGGTATCGAATGTAGCACAATTTTTGGATTCCAGTCTTTAGGCACAAGTAAGATATGATCAACAAGCCGCATTCAACATTCATTCACAGTTCTTGATAGGTGTTCTAAATCTGATCTTTGTAGTACCTTTTTATTAGTGAACTGGTCACAATATGAGAAGCAGAGGATTCTTCTCAAGCAGCATTGTTGGAAAACATTTAACTGTTTAATCATCTTGATTGTATACTTCCATGTTTCACAAGCACATATTGCATTGGTGTAACAGCACCATTGAAAAGTTTTATCTTTGTGGTAATACTTATGGCTGCCATAGACCAAATTGAACACATTTGTTGAAACACGACTGCTGACATTCCAGTTTGATGGTTAATGTCCTTATCTATACCTCTATCAATAAAGAAAAATCACTAAAAAACCCACCAAGCAAACTGGATAAAAGCTGTAATACACTGACATTTATCAATCCCAGCCAGGATTGGTACTGATCAGCATGCTGTAACTCCACCCATTCCTTTTATTCATCTACATATGTCCTTAGTCACCTTCTTATTGACTGAAACATTTAAACAATCTACAAGCAAAACTTGGCATAGCTCTGAATAACTCCTTTCTGCGCAGAAGAATAGTGTGCATATACACATAAAAGGAAAGCTTTAATTTATTAGCCATTGTGTACATCAATACAGCATTTTAAAGTGCTTAATCGGGATATGTAGGGGAAACAAAAAAACAAAAGAACTAAAAACTTCCATATAGTGCAAATATATTTTTATATATCAGTGTTTGTTTTTTAAATTGAAAAATTGAAGTTACCTAATGCACAAATTCCAAATCAGAAGTAAGCTACCCAATATGATAGTCAAATATAGGGGGGGGGGATTAGAACAGAGGAAAACAGATCCTTACTGATTAGAGAACTGGAGCTCTCTATCCTCTTTTGTTTTGTTTTCATTTTTATCAATTTGTTTTTAACTGAGGATTTCCTGCTGGGTCAAGTGTTAAGGCATTTGTAATACCGTATGTATTTTGCCACTTTAATATGCCTGCTGTTGTGAAATCAATCTGATTTATGTAGACAAATCACTTTCTGAAATTGTTTAATACAATTTAATTAAAAGAGAGAGATGAGATATTGCTATTAATCTGCTGCTGAGACACTTGCATTTGGGGACCTTCTGTCACACTAGCTCTGGATGTTGATAAAAGCTGAGAGTCAAGCAGCTCCTCTTAATGAGCAGAGCTGGAGGAGGAAGAGAAAAAGGAGGTTCAAATGATGCTAATGGTTTTGTGTAGGCAGTAGCCACTGTCATGATGTTCCCACTGGCTGCCTTTTATTTTAAACATAGAAACAATGCCTTCTATTTTAAACAATACATTCAACTCATTGAATAATCAAGCATATAGCAAAAACAGGAATTGTGGCCTCTAAAGTAGCATTGCTCAATCTGGACAACTTTAAAATACATGGACTTCAACTGGGGAATTCTGGGAGTTGAAGTCCTCATATCTTGAAGTTGCCTAAGTTGAGAAACATTGCTCTAAAGCTCAGGTGTCAAACTCGGCACGTTATGTTGGTGTTACGTGGTGTATTTTTTCCCCTTTGCAGAGCTAGGGTGGGTATGGCCTGTGTGTGACAGGCCACCAGTTTGACACTCCTACTAAAGGTAGACTTTCTTTGAGGCCCACACTGATACAGAGACACTGCATACAGTTGCTTCAGCTGTGATATATCACAGAAGTGAGTATACCCCTTCTCATTTTGTAAATATTTAAGTATATCTTTTTATGTGACAACATTGAATAAATGACACTTGGCTACAATGTAAAGTAGTGTGTATACAACTTGTATAACAGTGTGGGTCCCTCATTCTGTTAATGAATAATAATTCCCATTTGGAGAGGTCTTGAGAGACATTCTGAACTTCTTGATATGACTTCATTTCCTTTTCTTTCTCCTAAGGAACTAAAGAACCCCAAGTATAATTGAAAACAGGGACTGTTCATTGTCGCTCAGGGGAAATGGATAAACATGATATATGTAGATGATAGCTACTTGAAATGGAGAGTTTCCTTTATTTGAATAGGATTTTGGAAAAACAGATTCACGTGGAAGCTTTCATGGATAAAAGTTTTTCACTACAAATGCAGTAATCACTTTTTTTATTTCACAGACAATGCAAGGATAAGTATCAGTAGCACACTTCTCTTACTCCAATGGACATTCTCCAAACTTTTAATAATGCCAGAAAAGACTCTTGACTGTGGAGCAAGCCTTTAATAATAATAATAATAATAATAATAATNATCTATCTATCTATCTATCTATCTATCTATCTATCTATCTATCTATCTATCATCTATCTCTACATATATAGACACTGTGAGAGAAACACAAACACACACCATCTACCAGTTTGTTTCCAGTCCAATATCCGGGTATTAACATTTAACATTTTTACTGTCTTGGAACCACAATATTTAAAGGAATACCCCCTTTTCATATCTTCAAATCTGTACTGATATTGTAAAAACCTCGCTTCACTAGAAACCCTTCTCTCTCAGCTCAAGTCACCCAGAAGGTTGTTGTTGTGGGCAAATAGGAGGAGGAAAATATCTTGGATATGTTAGCTGCCTTGAGCTAGTTGTAAAATTAATAAAGATGAGATACAAATAAATAAATGAATTGTATTGTTTTATTAATCTAGATGTTGTACATTGCTTAAATTCTATCTGGGCTAAGGCAGTCCATACATTCCAAAAATAAATCTGTTTGCCAATGTGCATTTTGTCCTCCTAGAAGTAGCATTTTTCAGAGGTAGTTCCCCAAACTTTGAATAACTTTTCCAGAAAAATATACTTTATGAAATATTGTAAGATTCCTAAAAAAATAGCCACCTTATATTGATGAAACAAAGCCTACTTTGATACTATTTAACCATGGCTGCATTTAAACAAATTCTTAAATCTAGCTATTCCTCCTAGAACATGGGTTGGAGTAGATGACAGATCATTGTATGGGATTTTGATCATGATTGTTGATTTTCTGGACTTTTTTTTACATTACAGATATTTTTATTTTATTATCAACTTGTGAGGCAGAATCATGAAACATTTAGGAGGCCTATACATTTTATAAATAATTAATTCCAACTTTTAGCAATACATTCATGTAAAATGTAGATTTTTTTTCTCTGTGGTTAGCTAGCTTGATTTCTCAGAATAAAATAAACAAAAAGTATGAACTCAACCTCCCCTGTGGTTGTAAGCCGCCCTGAGTCCCCTCAGGGAAAAGGGCGGCATATAAATCCCAATAAACCTAAACCTAAACCTAATTAGGATTACATCTGATATTAACATAGTTCAGGTTACATATGTATGGAGAGAATGGATTTTTAGTCTTCCTACTGGGCAATGTTATGGCTTACACTCAACAGTAAAATTGTCAACTGATTAAAGAATAGACCTGTTGGTTTATCAACTTCCTAATAACTTAACCAATTCAATTTAAATGAATGTATACATTATGAAATTAAATCTCGATGCCTTTTATACTCCCTGAAAAAAATGTGAAATGATTTGCAACATAAGAAATTTGTGATTAAAAGGAAGTTAAAAATCTCATTTTATTTTTAATTCCCTAAAAATATAATATGCCCAAAAACAAAATAGCCATCAAAACTAATCAGAAAATGGTTGGTTCAAATTTGCTCTTTTCTTGTTAAAATTGCTCAATATAATTTGAGCAATTGAAGAAATTGAATAATTGGGCAATTAAAATTTGTGGCCTTCCTCTTGGTATGATTTTGAGGTGTATTGCAGTCTGTGATGATAAACAGTTTCATTTATGTTACATTTCTTTGACAAATGCTTAAAGACATATTTGCTCACTACATCTTCACTTATTCCTTGTACATAGAATCTCAAAGAATTCATGTATAATATCCATTAAAACCTTTTTC